ATGCGAGCAGAATTGAGTTCAATACTTGAACTGTGTAAAAGCAGTCTAAGTTTAGTGCAAGAAAAACGCTAATCCACTCCACAGACAACCTAAACTTTCTCCTTCGTTAAACTGTAATTAAAAAAAAATCCAGATTAAACCGATAACTTTCCGGTGTTCACCCTAGTAACTCGACTATTTTTGTGAAGAGAAGAAAAGTCGATTGCCAAAGTAAAACAGTGTTCACATGAAGCGATTTTCCAGGCAATTTCAGAGGCGATTATATGCTTTCAAGTCATTGGCGCGTATTCATAGTTCAGCCACTAAGTCGAAACTAATAATGTTGCAACTTAAATTTAAGTACCAACTTAAAATTCACTTTTATTCATAGCCCCATTTCAGACTTCTACTAAGTAGTTTTAACTTAGTTTTACGATATTGCAAAACGAGTGTGAAAATTTATCGATTTTTCTTTACGATATTTTGTAAAAATGACATTTTTATTAAATAATGTCAAGTTTGATTATCCGTTTATTTTTAAATACATTCATTGCATGTTTATGCAAAAGAATAAGGTATAAGTTTGTTGTTAATTGTGTGAAATAGCCAGAGCTACCGTAATGATGTGAAGTCGATGTTTATCGAAAGCATACTGTGAAACATACAAACACATATCTAAATGTTATGCACCAATTTTCTCTAAAAGAAAAGTTTGAAATTGACTTATTATTTGAGCATTTATATGTGTAAATCATTCCAATTACAAAATTGTGATGTAGCCTTATTCGAATTGAAATACGCATTTAATTTAATCTTCCGATTCAAATGGATCGCTCTTTGTAAATTTCAATTGGATATCATTCAATATTATCAAAATCGCGCTCTTGCCAGCTTAATTTTTAAAAATTTCGTAATTTTTTCATTAATTTAATGAAATACTTTTTTATAGTTACGACTTAATTGCAGATGCAGCCGAAACTAAATGTTGGTACTTAGCCAGAAAAGTCTAAACTAAGGCTTTCTGCACATTGGCCGTCCAATCATACTTACTTCATCGTCACAATCATTATGCAATGATTACATGACGGCTACATTTTCGCACACTCGGTCATGATATTTCAATTCATTTCGCGTCTGAAAATTTACTTGGAGCAGGTATTTTCTGTTTTTCTGGTTGATATGTTCGCAAAATATTTACAAAAACCCGCAATTTTTAAAATATGGACAGTGCTGCAACAATTCTAGACATAATTTTTCAGTAATATCTCTTCTTTTCTTTTCCTAAAATTTATTTTGTGCATGCACACAGAGACTTTTTACAATTTTTTGTAGTTAAACGCTCACGTTTATTGAATTTTATTGCAATTATCCACATTTTAACAATTTCGAGAGATTTTGTGCCAAAGACACTAATTTTTATGCAATTTTAATGCAAATATTAACTTTTTCACTAATTTTTTTTAGTTTTCCCCATAAAATGTAAACAAACAATGCGTGCACAACGACTGGCAAACGACAGTGCCATACTTATCCGTTCTTGCATCTTCTACGATTTGCCGTTAACTAGCCGATAACAAGTGTGCAGATCTCCTTTGAAAGGGTACTGTTTGCATTTTTGTACGCCGCCTACGCAAAAAGCAAGAATGACAGAATATAGAATGTTCGCTGCACCGTGCGCAGAAAGCTGCTCTTTGCAAAACCTGTTCAGCCCCTCTTCTTCGGCAACAGGAATAGGAGTGGTGAGGGTTATAATCCTTTTGGAAAAAATCAAAATTTCCCCAATTTTCAAACAGCTCCCAAGTGGTCTGTAGGGATGGTGAGGGGGGAGGGATGACTTTTCATAAAGCGTCGTCCATCCTCTTTCGGGTAAGGTGGGTTTGGGGGGCCACGCCCTCAACCCTCTGCCACCACTACAAAATCATTGTACAAATAAGCAAACATTTCCCCTTTGAAATGCATGTGCTCGGCTCAAAAATTCAGGGCGAGACGATAACGCAACTATGATTGGACGACAAGCNAGAGTGGTGAGGGTTATAATCCTTTTGGAAAAAATCAAAATTTCCCCAATTTTCAAACAGCTCCCAAGTGTTCTGTAGGGATGGTGAGGGGGGAGGGATGACTTTTCATAAAGCGTCGTCCATCCTCTTTCGGGTAAGGTGGGTTTGGGGGGCCACGCCGTCAACCCTCTGCCACCACTACAAAATCATTGTACAAATAAGCAAACATTTCCCCTTTGAAATGCATGTGCTCGGCTCAAAAATTCAGGGCGAGACGATAACGCAACTATGATTGGACGACAAGCGTGCAAGTGTGCAGATAGCCTAAATCGTCATTAGTGACGATGTCACCAGTGACCATTTTCGCTACTGGGTTGTTCGACTTTTAGGGCCGATTGTTCAATGTCTGGTTATCACTACTTGCCGGTTAAACATCATTATCGAGCCTTTTAAATATCTAACGACATCATTATTACCTTATGTTTTGTTATTAGATAACATAACTCATTAATGCACATACCTCTTCCAATCTGCTTTTAAGCATTAAATTCATTAGTTTTACATAAACCGATAAAATGGATATTGGTCTATAGTTTTGAATACCGATTGAGTCACGACCTTTTTTTATTTTACGCTATTCCGCTACAATCGTATTACTTAACCAACACGTATTGAATGCCCCAATCAAATTCTCCAAGTTGGATTTAGAGTTTTTTGATCATGTCGCATTTTACACCGTCCAGTCCCGCAGCAGTTGCTTTATTTTTCTTTAAAAGTACTCTTCAATTTTGAAAGGTGTAATGTTTTCAACATATGTTTGCACATAATTGCAGATTGGAGTGTCCGAGGGTATTTATTCTTTCAAATATACCAAAAATTCAATGTTTTTAGATGGGTCCCAAGGCTGGCGTTTATTTGGACTGTTGGTTTAAATTTGCCTTGCAAAATATTTTACATTTCCTCAAGGTATGAATAGGTAATAGAACTAACGTGCCTTGCTTCTTCTCATTTCCAAAACTTGTATCTCTAATTCCGCCGTAACGTCTTTTAATAAACAGCTTCATGCCAAAGAAATTAAAGTAATAATACAAATCAATAAATCGCAACCGAGACCCTAATCGGTTTTGGTTATTTTATTGACTATGGACTTAAATATGCTCGCAGTATTTGATTCTGGCAATTCAGTAAGCACGGAACGTGTTGTGCCAACTAATACATTTAAGCGTGGATCAATTGGTAATGTGCCTAGATGTGGTACGCCAGCTCTTTTCGCTAATTCGACGCCACCATCGGATGAGAATATATTTGTACAATTGCTGCAATGTGGACACACAAACCTAAAGTATATGCAAATTTATCAAATAATTATTTTTCTTCGTGTTACGGCTAATACAATTAACCAAATGGTATATGCATGAACATACCCGCTCATATTTTCCACAATACCCAATACATTTACACCGGTTTTTCGGCAAAATGTTAGCTCCTTACGCACGTCATCTAACGCAACTCCTTGTGGGGTGGTTACCATAATAGCGCCTTCGCATTTCACATCACGCATACATTCCATCACTGTTATGTGTTCATCTGAAGTGCCAGGCGGTGTATCAATCACCAAGTAATCCAATTCATCCCATTTTACATCAGTTAAAAATTGTCGTATCATCATTGTCTTCTTGGGTCCACGCCAAATAACTGGATCATTACGATTTTTTAGCAGGAATCCAATAGACATAACCGCGAGCATTTTATCTTCATCTGTGTAGATGGGCACCCAACCTTCATCACATTGGTAAACATCGCTATTTTCCAAACCAAGCAAATAAGGTACACTCGGGCCGCATAAATCAATGTCCAATAGACCCACCTGTAGGGGTAGATACGTTTTACGATTGGAGGAGAATATTATTTCTACTGTACCTTAAATCCGCTTTCCCGCAGTGCTAGTGCCAATTGCGTGCTAACTGTAGATTTACCAACACCGCCTTTCCCAGACAAAACTAATATAACATGCTTCACTTTGTCCAACATTTCAGAAATTACAGAAAATATTTTAAAATTATGCCTGCAAAAAAGAAGCGAATTTTGCCACAAAAATTATCACAATTGAACAATGCGCTGTAAAAAAAGTCCAAAATTGCAGAATCAGCTGTAGCGAATGAGAAGAAAATAAGGAAACTATAAGAAAGGAAAGAGGAATGTCATCCCGAAAAAATCGAAAAATCGCATGAAACCTTGGAAAATGCGTGTTTATAACGGATTAAATATAATTGGATATTTCGATAATTTGCATTGAGAAAGTAAAATCATCTAATGTATGCTATTAAAAATAATTATTAGTTCGTTTTGACGTGTATCTTTTCCTAAGGGTACAAAAAGCGATCGATCAAAACAAAACGCAAGAAAGGTGTTTCGCAAAATTAATAAAAACAAAAGTTTTGGCAAAACTCGTTTTTATAAGATCCTTTTATTTAAGAAATAGAAATATGTATTTTGGTAATCACAAGCCCCTAAAAATGACGAAACCATCCGCGCAACAACAGAGTTCATTTTCAAAACAACAGAAGAAATATATTTGCATAAATTGTGGGCATCCAATAGCGGAACTGTATAGGAAATATACAAATACCGCGATCAAAACAAGTCATTGTGTACGTAAAATTTTANACTTGGCAAAACTCGTTTTTATAAGATCCTTTTATTTAAGAAATAGAAATATGTATTTTAGTAATCACAAGCCCGTAAAAATGACGAAATCATCCGCGCAACAACAGAGTTCATTTTCAAAACAACAGAAGAAATATATTTGCATAAATTGTGGGCATCCAATAGCGGAACTGTATAGGCAATATACAAATACCGCGATCAAAACAAGTCATTGTGTACGTAAAATTTTAAACTTTAATACTTTTCGATATCTCTGTATGTATTACTCTCAACCTTAGGAAAAATGTCACAAAGTAGCGGACAAGTACATCGAGTTTGACCCGATAATAATCTTGGTGGATGCAATGCTGCTATCACAGGAGTCTTACCGCCACATGCTGCATAACCGGAATTTTAAGGTAGAAACTGAAAAGATGAATGAATTTTGTATTATTAAAAGAACCCTGCTTTACATATAACTACAGCTAAATTGGAAATTGTCCCTTGTGCTGTTATTGCTCGAATCGTTTGCACTATGGAGACAAAAGGGAATCGTCAGCTTACAAAAAGATGTGTTGCAACATGAAATCATTAGTGAGAAGGGTTTCTATATTTGCTGCTTACAAAATATGATAGGTAATGTTATAATTCGGTGCTCCTCTGCAATAACGACACATCCCTAAACCCTTACTAGAGACGTGATGCGCTTAAAAGTAGTAAGGGTTTTGAGTTGTGTCCTTATTGGAGAGGACCATCCATATGCGGATAGAAATGCATATGAATATTTTTGTAAAAGTAGAGTAGTTCATGGTCCAACGCAACTAAGCGGTCTGGTGATGTACCTACCTTAAAAAGATCATGTACTACTCTATTGAATTTTTATGCATATTAAAGAATATAAAAAATGAGTACCCTACTCATGTAATTTTCTTTCATTCACAACTTCTCTTCTCTTTAGATTACGTTATTATCACACTAATTTTGTTGATTGTAGCCTGTGTACAGCGTCCAGCACTAATTTCGTGTACAGGCATTAACAAATTCGCTGTAATTCTACTAAAAGCGATCACTATAGCAAATTTATCAAAAATGTTTCTTCTACCACTTATTGTATGGCGGGAAAATACTACAGATCTGGGCGCTAATATACATCAGTTACTCGTGCTGGGCCATCATCTATTAGCTTTGGTGTATATTTATGCTATAGTAGGATCTTTTAAAAAATTACAAGCTTTTTTGATCATATTACCGGCTTTTGTAGTAAAAGAATATATTAAGAGCAATATTTCAGTTTACTTGGAATACTACTTTTGAATAAAATTAGTGTTGAACAAAAATAGGAAAATATTTGTTTTTCGACTACAATTAAGTAAAAACATGTACGGCGTACTGCAACTTTTTTTCAATTTACCATATTTCAACTCACCAATTTCTGGTCATACATACATCAATATGCAGGCAACATCTGTCATTATATGTACGTATTCTATATTTACATTTATTCCTAAAATCTCATCAACATTATAGGTATAAAAAAGATTGTAAAACGACAGCCTACCAATACTGCAAAGCTCGAAAGAATAATCACCCTCATTGCGAGAGTCGTTTCGAATGCAAGTCGTTTTTCGGGTGTCGAATCGTATCGAAAATGTCACGTCATTGCCTAAAGTTTCCACTCGACTAGTGTATTAAACGCAGCACTATAGAGTTTTCGACGATTTTCGTGGTTTACTTATTCCGGCACGACAGTAGACAATGCCAATGTTGTCGAGTCGCACAATTTAGCCTAATTTACGACTTACGCAATGAGGCTGAATATATTTATGAAGTGGAATTTATGTTGCGCTAATCATTTAAACAGCGCTTATAAAAAGTCGTTTTTTAATAAGTATGTATTTAAACACTGATGTTCATATATTCTCTAAAGTTTTTTTCAAACTTTATTCTAATTATTTTCTTACATGCGCATTTTACTAGCATAAATATTTATATAATTGTTATTTTTTTGTTTGAACCGGAAAGGCAGTAATATGTTATTGGCTTGTCTATAAAATAATCTTCAAAATAAAGAGTTAAAAGCGAAGCCAATCAAACGCGGAGAACAATTTTAGACATCGAAACAACAGCATTGAATATTTGGCTTAATAATGCAACAAATTTAAGGTACCATCCCCCTAATATTCACCCGCTGCAAAAAAACGAATTGTCATACAAAAATTAAATGTATTACATAAAAGTAATTTATTTCCTTTTACATAATTGCGTAATTAAAAATGTTTGTTTATTTATATATGTATGTCTAAAGTTTAGACTAAACACAAGAATGCATATAGTATGTACATATGTACATACATACTGACATACGCAATTGTCTCTTAAGATTGTTATTTTTACTGTACTGTATGAATGTATTTAGGGTTTGCTAGTCCTTTTTGATTTATTTACTATGATTTTATATAATATTTTCGCTTGGGTGCAGGAAATCGTATCTAATCATTTAATACATACTTAAGCTGTTGGTTATCTAAGCTTGGTATATTTTTTCAACAACGGCTGTGTGCTTTTCTTGCTTATATGTATGTTTATATGGATTCTATCTGTATAACTATTTGCCATTTTTCTCTGATGCGCGTATGTATTTAGTTTTTGTATACGCTTATTAAATTTTCATACATATATATATATGTACATACATATGTATGTATTGGCTTAAGATCATTACTAATGCTATAATTATTGTAAAAAAAAAACTAAAAAAGGGGAAATAGCACAGTCGAATGCGTGGCGCACAAAAGTAAGGATTATACACATTTCGTGAGTGAATTGCTTGACAAATTGGTTACACTCTTGTTTAAAAAATCTGTTATTTCTGCATCAGTAAAAAATTAAAACGAGATATTATTTACAATTATTTAAAAAACGGCACATCAGTAGCATTGTTATAATTTAGCATGTGAGCTAAGGTAACGGTGCAACGTAAATTGATATTTTTCAATATTTATTCGCCGATACTATTTTTGTATGCCGTGTTTTGAGTTAAAAAGTATTCAAATTCGAAAGTAATCAAAAAATAACAATTAGATAAATCAGTTAAAAATAAAATTTGCATTAAAAATCGAAACAAGGCTTTGTATTGCATGTGGAGTGTTGGTGTTTTTCTTGTTTTAAAACATTTTTTGATTTTATTCAAAAAAAAGTAATCAGGCAAATAATGCAATTCACAAATTCAGTTTTTAAGGCAGGTTATGCATTCCGAAAGAAAGTAGAAATAAAACTCGGCAAGTGAGATGCAGAATGCTAAATGTTGAATTCAAGATGACTTTTGTTAAAATTCAAACGCAAGTGAATTGCAGAACCTGCCGGAATTTTTTATTTTTCGTGCGTATGCAAATGTGAAGTATATTACAAGCAGTCACTTAATTTATCATTAGCACACAAATGACGATTTATTATATATAGTAGTTTGGTTTTCTTCTTCAAAACATAACATTTTTTAAAACACTTTTAGACTACATGTCCCAGTATATGCGCGCCACTGCAAAGCCCCTTTTCTCCCACTGCAGTGCTCAATTATTAATATTGTTACTATAATTAACGCTTATCTTATACGTTACATATAAACCTTCGTTTTAATTGCTACAATTAATTTTTTCTTAATGTTTGCTTCTGTATCCAGCCGTTTATTTTTTCATCAATTACATATTTTTTTTTTTGCTGTATTTTTTGGTTTATTTTTCAAACTAATTTATTGTTGTGGCGTGATTCTTTATATTTTTTCGTTAATAATTATTGTTGGTATTCATTTAACATATTTGTATCTCTATGTTCATGATTTTTATGTTGCCTTTACATGTATGTAGATAGTTAGGATTTAAAAAGAAAATTGGACTATTTTATTGCTGCTGTGCTTGCACGCTTACATTCTAATCCCACAAAAACTGCTGCTTCTTTCGTCGAATTACACTTTCGAACTAGATTTCGAAAAGTGTATCGCGTTGTTGGTATTAATTACAACACTGTCCTGTACATGAATACTTTATGCTTGCTGTTGCTGTTTCTTTCTTTAGCTCCTTAACAAATATTTTCTTTGCCTTCCATTCAGCTCTACAGCATATTTTTGTTGTTGTTTGTCGATTGTAATTGTTGGTACTATTGTAATATTGGTATTGTAGTTTTTTTGTGTTTATCTACTTGGTTATGGCGACAACAACGGTGTGCTCCTCTATTGGTTATCGCTGTTATGACGTCTATATATGCATTTGTTTGTGTTGAATTACGATGTCATGTTCCACGACGATGATGATGAACAAGATGAACAGTCATCACTCTCGGGTGTTGCATTGGCACTGTGTGATTTTGGGCCCCAAATGCGTACTGTGGCATCATCACTGGCCGATGCCAAAAGGGACGGATACACAGGATTCCAGGAAACACAATTCACTGTTTTTGTGTGACCAGCCAGCTTGCCCAATGGCTCTTCACGTCGTATATGCCAAATACATACCAATTTATCCTCACTACCGCTCGCCACAAAACTCTCATTTACACCGCCAAAGCATGAGTGTATGGCAAATTTGCTCTGACGAATTCCTTGAAACCGACGTACCAGGCACTTGTCCTCCAAATCCCATAGATGCAAGCCTTGGCTAGAAATATTGAGCAGTGCCAAACGATCTGCAGAGTTTACCGTAAAAGTCATGATCGGGTGCGGTTCTTTGAGTATGTCGAAATCTGTACCCGGATCTTCAAAATTATAGCTGTAAAAAGAAGGGAGAGCAAACTAATTAATATTACTTGAAGAAAGATTCGAACGAAGCTTGAATCATTTTTTTAATTTGGTTTCTTTACAATATTTAAATACGATAAGGATACATGCACCACTCAAGGCTGAAANTCAAACTAATTAATATTACTTGAAGAAAGATTCGAACGAAGCTTGAATCATTTTTTTAATTTGGTTTCTTTTACAATATTTAAATACGATAAGGATACATGCACCACTCAAGGCTGAAAAGTGTACACTACTACTAACCCTCTGATACGATAATGACTATCGGATGCTATTATAGTCTTATTGTCTGCGCGGTAGGCCACGCTATTGATGCGCACCCCTTCCCACGTATTGAGAATCGTTCCACTCAGGTCGCACAAATAGAATTGTCCCTTTTGACCACCGCAAACGAAGCGTGTACCATCGCGATTGAAAGCACCACACGATAGACTGTCATCCACCGACTGAGACATCTTTAACACCAGCTTGCCATCTTCTACATTCCATATACAAATTTCGGGTGTATCATCGGGTCCACCCACTAATAAGAGTTTCGAATCGGGACTCCAGCTAACAAAAGCCACACTTATATTCGATTGACCTTCGAGTATGCGACGATGCTTTAATGTCAACTTATATGGATCTACATCCCATATAATGACTGTGGAATCTTTGCTGCCAGTAGCAAGTTTCAAGCCATCTGGCGAGAATTTACAATACCAAACTTCATCGCAGTGATCGGTGAGTACCTGTATGGTCTGCATGGGAAAGCCATCGGTATCGCAGGTGTGATCACTGAGCAATGATACACTCTGTAGATTTGTTTTAAAGGCCATATCGTGGAAATCGCAATGTTTCGATTGCAATTCAACTGCTTGTTGTAGTAGGTGGCGTAAACGGCGTGGTGGCATCATAACCGATGGTGGTAGGAATGCTTGCAGTCGGTCCATGACCACAGCACGTGATAATATACCTTTGCCTTCCCATTTGGCGCGTTGATAGAGATCGTGATTATTCGAACACATCATATATGAGGAAAGTTGATGGACGCGAGACGTGTTGTGCTGTAACGGTGTTAGCTCATTGCGCAACACATGTAAGGCATCCAATGGACAACCATCGTCCAAAAATTCCAAGTACTTTTGCTCTAATAATAAAAATTTCATTTCGATGATAGTCGACGGTTTGCCATTATCAATGAGTGGTTCAAGCTCCTGTAGAGAAAAAAATATGGGCAAACAATAAATTATAATTCGAGATTAGGAAGATAAGAGGTTTTCATAAATTTAAAACCGGCAATGTTGTTGTAACAGGATAAAAATTACGCAAAAGCCTTGTGGAATGCAGCAAAAGTGACTGCCTTGGACAAATATAATAATAATAAATAAATATAAATATACACAATGATGGTCATATAATTAATTTTTCTATTATTTAATATTTATCAAAAAAATAAATAATTTTTCTAGAACTTCTGGTTTAAAAAAATGGCTCCGTGGTCAAAGATTTTCTAACGAAGAAGAAATGATGTCGGCAGTTAATGGCTATTTTGGGGAGCAAGACAGTTCTTATTATAAAAGAGGTATCGAACTTATTTAGCATCGCTGGAAAAAGTGTATAGAGCTGAAAGCATATTATGTTGAAAAATAAATATACTTATTCCCAAAATTTTTGTTTTTTCTTTGTCAGGTCGGGTACTTCTGGGACCGCGCCCGTACATTAAATTTTAATATCTTAAGCGCTTCTGTAATAGGGGCTGCAGCGCTAATTGCTACTAAGTTCGCAAGACCGTAATATTTTTTGATGGACTTCCTTTGCCCTTAAGTAGTAGCACTAAAGGCTATATTTTGTATCTGTCTTAACATTTTCATGTAGCAAACTCTACAATTTTTTGCCACTTTTCTTGCGGTCCCGGCTTTCCGCAGTAAATCATTATTTACATTTATGCTTCCTGATTAACCATAGCCCTTTTGACTAAATTACAATACATCTGCCTTCCAACTAAGTAAAAGATAACTGTAAAATGCAAAACTGAGAGTGAGTGCAAAACTGTAACATTTCGTCCCGTTTCTGCCTTAACCACATATCTACAATGTTTGGGAAAACTAATATTAGGTTCGTTCGCGTAGCTGTTAATTGTTCATGTTTAACCAAAACTTACAGGTTTTTGCGTTCGCGTACGCAAAAAACTTGCAAAGTAGGGGAAATTGAGAGAGCAAAGTGACATTTCATTTTGAGGGGAAGCTGTTAGTTTCTGTTGGAAAAATTTTTGCCAACAGCAATTTGCCAACAGGGAAACAGCTGATCAAAAACAGCTGGTTGGCATTTACGCAAATCACAAAATTGAATTTGATGGTTTGGAAGTTAAAAATTACAAAATGCGACTAATTAAACTTGTAAGAAGTAAGTAGTTATTTGTTTAATCAATAAACTGTGCCAGGATGCCACTTTGTAATGAGTTTTCGTACGTTTTAAATTTTACACTTTTGAATGTAAACAAAAATTATATCAGCTGTTCGTCTAACTTGCAAGTTTCTGCAAATTTTCTGTTCGCGTACTATTTTGGATATTTCTCTCTTGTGAGCGAACAGATGACATTTCGCCGGAATTTGGCAGTTGGTTGGTTTCTGTTGGGAGATTTTAAACGAACGCACCTATTACCACTTATAACAGCTGTTTAAGCATCACACTATTTGAAAATAGAACAAAGACTTAATGAGGGTGCTCACTGAGGGTACTGTTAGAGGAACCAGAAATATTAAGTAAAAACTGCGTTTATTGTATCCTAGGGGAAGAAATTAAGCATTTTTTCTTACACTCTAAAATACCTCTATTGCAGATACGAGGTTAAGGCAGAAATTTGACGATTTGCCTTAATTTCCATTTCTGTCTGCTGGTTTTATTATTGTTGTTGGATTGACTTCAAATCGTTAACTATGTTACAGTTTTGCTCGCCACTGTATGTACATATTAGGTTCTTTCCCGTACGCAACGCGGGACCCCGCTGGAGTCAATGCGACAAAAAAAATCTAAAAAAGGAACGGTAATTTGTAGCCACTTGAAATTTGCACATTATCAGACTAAAATTGAAGGGCCCAAAAAACTGTGTACTCAAAAAATTTCTAACACTTCCGAGCAAAAAGTTTGAAATTTTGGTGAACATTTGTTGCACTTTTTTGTAGTTTTACAACATATAATGTACATATATTCAAGGTTAGGTGTTGGCGATATTTTTTCCACTTAACTTATTAATATTTAATACATCTTTTTCAATTTAGTGGGCTCGTCGATTCGCCATTAACAGTCAAAAATGAGGAATAAACACAGGCATTCAAACTTACGATTATCTAGCATTATAAAGATTTACTGATAACGTAGTAGTGATAGTTTGTGCATAGTGATTTCACTAACGTACATACATATGTTTGTATAATTACCTACCGACTAAAGTAGTATCGATTTTGAGTATTAGATGAAAAAAAAATTAATGTTAATATTTTGAGCCTCTATAGAGGAATCTGAACTTTGCCCCCTGTGCGACACGCCTTACCCGTCTCCAATCGGGACCAAAATTAATATGTGATATCTTTGACTATAGTACCCAACAAACATTTAGATTAGATAACGATTAGAAACTGATTCGAATTTTAAAATATCGCTCTCTAAGATGGAAGGTTAGAAGACGATTAGATAAACTATCGAGAATTATAGCATTCTCTAAAAAAGGGGGGCTTAGTTCTCGATATCGAGAAAAGGGTTAGATATCTAATCGTAATCTAACGTCGAATTCTAATTGGTTTCTAATGTCTAATGTTTTTCTCATCATTCTCTAATCGAATTCTAACATACATACATACATAGTTCTCCAATCTTCGAGAAACATTAGAGAACTACATTAGAATTGTACTGTAAAACGAAATGTTTCTCTAACGGTAGATACGGTGTCTGCTGAGTAGTATCGACGTGGGGTTGAGGCTTAGGAAATCTGATGTAAAAATTTGCTTTCTACATTTAAAGAAGGTTTTGAAGGTTTGGAAGCCTGTGTTTATTCCTCATTTTTGAGTGTTAATGGCGAATCGACGAGCCCACTAAATTGAAAAAGATGTATTAAATATTAAAGAGTTAAGTGGAAAAAATATCGCTAAAACCTATCCTTGAATATATGTACATACGGTATCGGTCATATCTATAGCACGCCATTTCAAAGTGAAATTGTTAGCCACTATTAATGATTTATTTGTTTTTAAGAATTTTCAATTAAAATGTAGTTCATTCTCAGACAAACCCCATATAAACCCAAGTTTAAAATTTGTAGAAAACTACAAAAAAGTGCAACCAATTTTCACCTCCAATACAAACCGAATTTTTCACCCTGCATATCTCTGGAAGTGTTCGTGGTATAGTACTGAAACTTGGTTTGGAAATATATGAAATCAAGCATATGGTCATGGAGAAAAATTGGGGCTATTTTATAAGAGGGCGTGGCGCCTTTCAAACGCACTGAAGCTATTACGTATCTTTGTATGCATATACCCTTGTCCTAGGTTATTTAAAATGGCAATGGAAATATGCCTTCTGACAACCACCAAACCGTAATATTAGAAGATAAATGCGTTACTTAAAATCACGAACGTGAACTGTTGGTAAAAATGTTGGGCCAAAATTCGCCGGGTCTGCTTGTTTTTTTTTATAAAAGACCAGCGCATTATGTAACAAGCACCATATAAATCCACATTATAAACTCTGTTCAAAAATTACAATAAGTTAATAGTAAAAACCAGGGACGTGAACCGGATGAAAAATTTGGTCGGTTCGGTTCATCAAAGCGGTTTTTTTGATCTTTGAACCGGGGTTTCGGTTCGGTTTAACGGTTCGAAAAACAAAAAAAAATAAATAAATAACGCACAAGTTTAAGTGTCAAGTGTCAAGTGCAACAACGTGCAAGGTTGAGGGTCAAGTGTCTGTCAAATGAGATGGGTTGCCTTTATATTTGATATTGTCACATGGTAAACACACATGGTAGGTATTACCATGTTTAAAAAAAGGAAAAAAGTGGGAACATTTATCTATTGAATATTGGTTGAAACGAACCTTTAAACCGGATCAAACATTTGTGGAAAATTTCGGTTCGGTTAATAATTAGAAGAAAACGGCTTTCCGGTTCAAAACCGGTTCGGATCAAACCCGGTTCACGTCCCTGGTAAAAACATTTATTTTTAAAGTAGGCTTTCTAAATATGAACGAAATCGGACCATAAATACTGGTTTACCAAATATATCGACTCGTGCACAGTTTTATAGCCCATTAAATTTTAGTAGGTTGAAGTGCAAATTTCCAGACGCTAGAAAATCGCGTTGATTTTGAATATATTTTTTTTTTGGCTGACGGTGTTGTGCATTTTCTTCCACATAAAGTCTGCTCGATATTACTCAAATTTTATTTTTATGTAGTAGAAAACGCCTAGCAGCGTCAGAAAAAAATAAATAAAAATCAGCGCGATTTGTTAGCGTCTTAAAATTTGCACTTTACCCTACTAAAATTTTATGGGCATACCCAAACTTTTTCTAAGAATGCTGAATAAAAAAAGTTTGAAATTTTTGGGTGATCTGGTAAAATTTGATGAAGTTTTATAATTTTTGACTTATTTTGAAATGTGGATTTATATGGTGCTTGTTATAAATACGCTAGACTTTTATAAAAAATATTAATATTATCGTATAAATAAAAGAAACTGGTCAAAATAAAAAGTTTCTATTATTTCTTCCACCACTGTATGTATACATATATTAAACATTTCACTGATTTCTTATAAGAAAGGGTCTGACGTTGACTAAAGCGAGACAGAAGGATGAATGAGCAAAATTGCTTCTTGAGAGCGCAATACCGACAAATCTTTCAAGGTTTATGGCCCCAAATCATTATATTTCCTTTTGTTACACATTTATATGCGATTTTATTTTTTTTTTTATTTTTTGAATAATTAACAGCTGCGGAAAATTTAGACTTTAATTGTTTTAAAAAATAATTAAAAGATGCCCTATGCCATGCATGAAATGGTAGAACAAACACGAACATGTCAACTGCTGATTTCAATTGAAATGAAATGACGGTAATTGAAACTTTTTAAAGACAATATGCATTCTTTCTATTCATGCAACGTGTACTTACAAACATAGTGAAAAAATATAAAGTGTGCCAGATAGCAATGGCATTC